TGTTCAGAGGGAAGTGAGTCAGCTTCAAACCCTCTAAACGCACACAAAGTACTTTACTAAAGCTTTTCTGTTTCAGTAAACCCTCTCCAACTACTTTACCAAATTATATAACATCTTTTAACAAAAAAATGCCAATTTTTAGAGTTAAGTAGCTAAAAAATGCAAAACTCTGAACACATACCATCAAAATACATATATTTATAAAAGTAATGACATTCAGATCCACCTTAACATAAAGCATGTTAAAAAAAGTGATCATGAAAAATAGTAATCCCAAAATAAAGGTATTTAAGCAACAGTAGAACAAAAACATCAACAAATGAGCGAGGTTAGCCTAGTCTAGCTAATCTTACTTTCATTTTTTGTTTTCGAAAGTTTTCGAAAGCTTCTTTAATACATGTACTTTATCGTAAGGCTCTAAAATGTTAAATATGTAAGTGGCAAAAAATATATACAAAATATAATGAGAATAGTAATAGAAAGACAAAGTATATTCTCCAAAATAACTAGCTAGCTGACTAGCCTAACTAGCTTTGTAGAGTAGAACTGAGATTTTTTAGGGTTATTCTTGTGTATTTAATGTAAAATGAGTTTTGTTAGACTTTTTTATTTCAGCTTTTAAACACAAGTAATATAATGACAAAATTACCGTATTAACTCCAGAAAAGGTATTTATATCTAAGTCTATTTGATAAACAATTGAGCAGCCAACAATAAAGGAAGATTTATGAGACTTTTTATCCACCAGCTTTTTAAAATTGAGAATGTTAAATATTCAGATCTAAAATTTGTCATTGGCGCTGTAATGCTTGACATCCAGTTCAATGAGCCTCTAAAATGTTTCAGAGATAATGTTTTCATCCCAAGGAGAGATCCTCCACTGATCCACATACTTTCTGCATGTTGTTATTGCGTCACATGATGCTTATCTGCAGAGTTAGCCCTCTTTCTAAGCTCAGCTCTCAACTATATCTGCGAAACCCCTCGTTCTAACAGTCAGTGATAACTTCATTTTTACAGAAACAGAATTTTGAGCATCCATGACGACTGTAGAACCTTGGAGATTTTAGTTAGCCTCCACTTTGTTTCCCTCTGATCATGTTCAGGGACCTGAAACAGATGTGCTGAAGAATGGAGCCTCTGTTTTAAACTCAACTCAACTCTAAACACCATTTAGAGACACCCACAAAGGGACAAAACTAGTTTAAAGAGACTCAAAACAACTACAAAGAAACTAAAGGACTTCCAAGACGAAGATCTTTAGCCTAAAATACACATAGCTGCTTATTATTTTGGCCAGGAAATGCATTAAGTGTAAATTTATTGGACCTGCTATGACAAGAAGTGGCATGTGTGATGCAGACTGACTGTTTAGGCTCAAACACATGACATGAAATAGATTAAAATAGCATTGGGTGCGTTTCCATTTATAAATATTTGTATTCTACTAGTTTTTCTCCTCTGTGGAAAATACAAACTGCTCAAATCTGGAGAGAATTATTCCAAAGAGCCGAAGAAGTCAGGAAAAAGCACCAAAAAAAGTCCAGTTTTACTGCTTTTTTTGTGTTCTGACCAACTCAGACTGTCCTGGGTGGAAACCACTGAAGCCTTAAAGCTGTGTTTTAGTCTGGGAAGATGCTAACGGCTTCCATTTTATTCTTTCTGCATCTTTAAAAATCCCAAACAAGTTCATAATGACCCTTCAGGTAATAAAGTCCACATTTCTAAACATGAAAATCAGTAGTCAGTCATTAAAAAACGATGATTTTTATGGAAGTGTGCGATTAAAAGATGTCTTTTCGAAGCAAACGGGACATTTCCGCTAATTTTGACCGCTTTATTGTGCTTTATAAACGATAAGAAATATAGCAGCGTAAAAACAAATAAGGAAAATAAGAACAAATATGCTGTTTGGCAGCCCTGAGACCACACAAAAGACAAACAAATGCAGATAGAGGCTA